GTGGCGAACCTATGGCATGCGTGCCACAGGTGGCACGCAGAGCCCTCTCTGTGGGCACGCGCGCCATCGCCCCAATCCTAGGTCTTCAGCTGGGTTTTATAAAACCTTTTCGCTTTAGGCCTCCACCGCCATGTGCAAAAAAAAAAAAGGTTCAATCAATCAATCAATTTCAACTTCTCGCGAGGAAAAGAAATCTCGCAAAGTTGGAATTGATTGATTGAACTTCTTAGTCCCACCCAGTCTGCCGTTACCACTGCAGCCATGCCCACCCAATAGGCTACGCCCACCCAATGGGCCACGCCCACCCGGCACCCAATGATACATAAGTGGGTTTTGGTTTGCAGTTTGGGCACTCGATCTCTAAAAGGTTCACCATCACTGCCCTATGGTATCTCCCTGTCCCACATATTCTGACAGGAAAGGTATATTCCAGGTCTTTCCAGGAGCCATGCCTTTTCAGTGATAGTTCTAATGACCACAAAGGTAGCTCTGATCTTTTTGATAGGTTTCAGAAAGGCTTTCAGGATATGGCTCTTTCCTTGAACTTTAGATCATATGTGATGTGTTGGAGGGTGGATTGGATGATAATGGCATTTCTGTTTGAATCACCATTTTATTATTTCATTATTGATTAGTTTGTGTATTTTGTTTTGTTTTTAAGGAATGCCTCTGTTAATGACAAAAATTCACCAGCTAACTTGAAAATCTGCAATGTTTGTATCATAGTAAGGACTTTTTGTTATAGTTTTTAGCTATATGACCAAGTACCAGTTCATAATAGTGTCCACCAGAATGCGCTCTACTTTTATAACGTTCACTTACTATATCTATTAAATGTATTAAAATATTTTCCCAGAAAAGGAATTATTATTTTTCAGGAAATGATGAATCCCTTGGGAAGCACTGAGGTCATAAAGGTTTTTCAGAGCTATTAATTGTACAGTGTAAATAAATTCCAAAAGGAAACTTAGAAGTTCATATGTGTGGTGTTATATAATTAATACATGTTTTCCTCTATAATAATTTAGACCGAACAAGGAAAACCCATCAACTCTTCAAAGATTCAAGTCACGCACACAATGGTATTGCGTCAATACAGTATCATTTTCCATCCATACTCCTAATCTTGTTGCTTTTATTGGACAACAAAGCTTCTGGAAATTAAGGCTACTTCCACAAAAGAAATTATAATGATTTCTTTCCTTTCCTTTGCTGTACTCATCACATGGGAAAAGCAGATAGGAAATTGTATTTCTAAGAACTAGCTTTCTGCTTAGAAATATACTTTATTCTGATTTTAAAATCACAAACTTGGCCACTTTAATAGAGTAGGCCATTTCTGATCAAAGTTTTTGTCTTTTTGGAATTCTTTGGAATTGGTAAGATATAATCAAAAATTTAAGCTGCTGAAATGTACTGCAGGACAGCAAGGATTTCTGAATCAAAACAAAGGCATACAGTTGTAGAAATCATCAAGATAGCAACCATGTTCAGTAATCATTTGTTTAATGTGTGTTCAAAGTTACAACGGCACTGAAAAAGGTGATTTTAGGACTGGTCTTCACACTTAATAACTATCACAGCATCTCTGTAGTCACATGATCAAAATTCAGGCATTTGGCAACCAGGAAGTATTTATGATGGTTACAGCATCCTAAGATAACATGATTGCCGATTGAGCTGCCAACAAGCAAAGTCACTGGGAGACTTAACAGCACAGGTTCACTTAACAGCTACTGATTCAATTAATGACCATGGTTATTCACTTAATGATTATGGCAAAAAAAATAAAATCAGGAGTGACTCCTTTAACAACTGCATTGTTTAGCCATGGAGGTTCTGGTCCATAAATTGAGAATTGTTTATGATAGTTAAAAACATGGTGGAATTGTGTTTTAACACCTTCATAAAATGCCTAGAGGAAAGGTCTTCACAAACCTCTGGAGGCAAGATGTTCTGAAATACAGGAGAAACAGCAGAGAAGGTCTGTAGATCTTTAGCTCTCATCTCAAGAGTGAGGAGTCTAAACAGGCCTTCTCATGACCTTACCGGGTTGAACTAATTCAAGGAAGTGTCTGGTATAATCTAATACTTCATAATATAGGCCTCACTAGCTCTTTGATTTGGTACCCTTTACAATGACATTAATACTTACATATATGATTCTATTAANCAGCAGAGAAGGTCTGTAGATCTTTAGCTCTCATCTCAAGAGTGAGGAGTCTAAACAGGCCTTCTCATGACCTTACCGGGTTGAACTAATTCAAGGAAGTGTCTGGTATAATCTAATACTTCATAATATAGGCCTCACTAGCTCTTTGATTTGGTACCCTTTACAATGACATTAATACTTACATATATGATTCTATTAAAATGGAATTCCAGTATTAATAATCTATCCACTGCATTTTGCCCCAGGTGAAGCTTCTGGGTTGAATCCAAGAGCTGCATCATGTGGTGTTCATTACAGGTAGTTCTCATTTAGAGACCATAATTGGGATCAGCAGTTTTGTTGCTAAGTAATGTGATTGCTAAGCAAAACTTCCATTTGGTTGTTAAGTGAGTCACTGTGAGTCATTAAGTGAGACATAATGAGATAGCAACTTGCAATTTTACTGTCAGCGTCCCCATTGACTCTTTTGGAAGCCAGTGTAAAGTGCAAATGGTGATCACTTGACCATGGGACACTGCAACAGTTTAAATGCCCACCAGTTGCAAAGTGTCTGAAAGTTGATCATACGAATGTGGGGATTTTGCAATAGTTCTAAATGCAAGCACTGATCATAAAGTTACTTTTTCAAGATTATTGTAACTTTGAATGGCTGCTAAACAGGGCAGTTGTTAAGTGCAGTCTAGCTATGCAGTAATCCAACCAATTAGTAATGAAAGTATGAATTATTGTGCTCAAGTCATCCTTGTTCAGGTATGGGCATAACAATTAGCAGTCAAAATTGGTCAAGGGTCTCCTTGCCACATCTTCCCCTTTTTGCTTTTATTTATTGATATTAACAGTTTCCTGATAAGCATGTTTGTTTAAACAAGAAGAGACTGAAATACATTTCTCATTAAACCACTTTTGTAGAGTTGGAGTTTTCCGCTCATAACAAACAACTTGCTCCACTGGAGATACCCTCTAAGGCTGCTAGATGAAATCAATTTTTGCTATTTTTTTATTCTTTTCTATCTCCCCATGCTAACTCTGTTGTTCTTCTTCTTCTTGTTGTTGTTATTTGTTGCAGTCAGCCAGATATTTAGACTGGATTTGACATTTTTATCTATCTAGTGAATAATTCTCAAGGACCTGGGATAGGTAGATGTTGATGTTTGATAAGGATGATGAGGATGATGTTGATAACAGATTTATTTGCTACCCATCTTGGAGTTCAAAGTGATCCTTAATTTTTTCTGAGATTTCCACAAAATTCTGAATCAAAGAGGTAGAAATAAAATGTTTTTATTTTTCAGTATAGAATCCTTTTCTGAATTAGATCCTCAGAAGAACAATAAACACAATTAGGTACTATTGTAAACTGCTACAATGTTAAGCAGTCCAGTACCACAAAATGTTTCAGATCATAGTTAGAATTAATATTAGTCCTTTGCTAGCTTTCATATCAGTTGAGATTGTTAAGGAGCTTCAGTGCCTGTCCAGTCATCATTGATCTATCATTTATTACACAGTGATTATAAACATTTTGCATTTTAGGAAATGGTACATATTTTATGGCATTGATTGCTCTAGATTTTATTTTCAAATATACTTAGAATTCAGTAGTTTCGTAAGCACCTAGCAAGTATTTAAAGTCTAGATTAATTTAGATTGCAAAATGCAGGCACAATTGTTGGTGGGTATACATTTTATACATTATAATAAAAATGGAATTATATACATTGAACATGTTAATTATCCAAATTGAGAATGAAAACATATCTACAGAGCAATTTGAAGTTATTTTTATATATAAATAATGAAGCAATTTGCTACCAAAAGATCATTTATTATCATTTTTAATATGTTCTTATTGTTTCAGCAACACACGAAGATAGTGTTCTCTGGATTGCCATGGCAGGTATACATCAAATCTGGGCACTCCTGTTGGAAAGTGGAAAACTACCTAAAGGAAGGTAAGTTAGAATATTAGATTGCCTTGCCAACACCCTATGATCATATTATTTGTTTACACTATTTATTTATTAGACTTGTTTGTCGCCTAGAAATAGGTGATAATATACTGCTCAAAAAAATAAAGGGAACGCAAACTCCTTCAGTTCCATGTTAAAATGTTCCCTTTATTTTTTTTGAGCAGTATAATTTGATTGTATAGCTCTACTAAACATTGTTATACATACTTTCTCCGTCTAGGTTTAGTTCAGTTTAGTATATTCAGGAAGAAATGCAAACTATTTGGAATAATGAGTATTTGACTGGGCACATTCTGTTTTCATTAGAACAATGGTTGATTGATTCATTGATGATGATGCACCAACAACTTGGTGTCAACTCTTAATGACCACATATATGGACCTTATCCTGGATGTTGTACCCTGACCTGTCTCTTCAGATCTTCCAGCAGTACATCTATCACTGCTGTAATCAAGTTGTCTTCTTGATTAGGGTTGCTAGGAAAGGGCTGCTATTATGGAGATAAAATGAACTAAATCTATTTTGTAAGCTGAGTTCTTGGAGAAAAATAGGATATAAAAGAAATAACTTTTTAAAAATTTTAGTGTTACATACATTATAGAAATCTTTCCTTCTACCCCTCCCTCTCCTTCCATCTTCCTCTCCTTCTCTCTCTCCCCCTATATTATACTCACTGAACTCTACATAAAATACATTTTGAATTATTTCATAGTTTAAAAAATATGGAAAAGAAAGCTTATTTTTGATCACAGCATGAAAAAAAATTGAATGTAACATTGTATAAATTATAAGTTCAAGTGCATGTAGAGCCTATGTAAATCTCACCACCCCTCCTTTTTTTAAAGTGATTTAAAGAAGGGAACTTGTCTTCGATTTGCTGGAAGTGGAAATGAAGAGAACCGAAACAATGCATATCCCCACAAAGCTGGCTTTGCTCAGCCTTCTGGTCTCTCTGTTGCTGCTGAAGATCCCTGGAGTTGCCTTTTTGTGGCAGATAGTGAGAGTAGTACTGTGCGAACAATTTCTCTAAAAGATGGCACTGTGAAACACCTGGTAGGAGGCGAGAGAGATCCAATGGTAAATTAAATCTATATTTCTCTCAGTTTTCAATTGATCTTATACATCCAGATTAGAACATCTCTGATCCCTACGGATGAAAACTTATTTTAAATGCCAATTGGTCACATTTTATTTGTAAGTTATTACAATAGTTAATTGAGATCATTAAAAAAGATTTAACTTTCAGTACAATTGAATTAGTCTGCTAATAATCATCAGATTCATGGCAGCAAGCAGATATATCTGCTGTGAAACCAGAAGGGACAATGAAGATTTGTTTTCAAATTTCGTTTTAGGAAAAATAGTTGCTATATTAAATAATAAACAATCTTCTCTTATTACTGGTTAACAAAAAGTTGGATTTTGCCATTCATATCTTTAAGCACAATATTTTAAAATAGCCATTAATATTTTGAAATGAAAAGACAGACAGAAGTAAAAAAAATAAAAAAATGGTCTCAATGTTTTGTAATCATGAAGATGAGACAAAAGGCTAATCTGAGTGCTTCATCAGAGTGTTTAATACATAACCTTATGTCATTGCATCACTTACTGATTCAGAAGAAAAAACTATCATTATTTTTTTGAGATTTGATTTGATTGGTTTCCCATCTTATCTAAAAGATTCTGGGCAGCTCATAACAAGTAAAAACAATCCAATGGAAACAAATAGGGTTTCCTGCCTGAGCAGGTGGTAGGACTAGATGACCTCCAAGGTCCCTTCCATCATCATCATCATCATCATCATCATCATCATTATTATTATTATTATTATTACCGGTATTATTATTATTAAAAATGAATATAAAAAACCTTACAAACTAATCACAATAATTTAAAAAACAGAAAACCATGATTAAGGGCACAATTCATTCTACATCAACAAAACACAGGTATTGAAAGAGTTCCCCACTTTTATAATTCTGTTGCATAAAAACATACATTACCATTTATAGATAGCTAAGGAATATTCCAAATTTCTAAGATCAACAAAAAAAACCCTTTGAAACAGAATTCAATCTATGTAAAAATTCTTATTTTAGATATCTGAATTGATACTATGAAATGGCAAGAGGCAAATTTTGAATTGAAGTGAATTGAAATACCTTTATTATCATTTTCCTGTATACACAATGCTATACATTAAAATAAAATTCCAATGCACTGCTCTCGAAAAAAATAATAATATAATAGCAGCAGCATCAAAAAAATGCCAAATTATATAAAAATAACACCAAAACGTAAGTGTGTCTGTGTGTGTGTGTATATATATATATAAATCAAAGTCGATTTTGAATACATAGAGGAAAAAAGAGTCTTGAGAGTTCACAAGGTTGATACTATATGGTGCAAAGCTATTACAGAATCTGGTGGTTCTGCTTCAGATACCACAAAGCCTCCTCCCAGAAGCTAACAAGGAAAACCAGTCATGGAGAGATATGTAGAATCTCTGACAATACTGCGGACCCTGGTCAAGCAGCACTTATATCCTCTAACCTGGATAGAAGGAAATTAATTTCCAGTAATCTTTTCTGCCATCCTCACCACTCCCTGCACAGCCTTCCAGTCCAAAACAGTAACACTTTTCATGGTTAGAGCGATAACCCAATAGATATATGTACGTTAGTTCTGAGATTAATGCCAAATTATCACTTCTTGTCAATAAAAATTGTTTTTTTATGAATCTACTTTGAATTCAAGTTAATGTTTTAGCACGTCATACTCATTATTGCTAACTTTAATTTTAAAAAAAAGTAATTTAATCATCATGTTCCTTTCCAAATATTTTTTTAAAGAATTTATTTGCTTTTGGTGATGTTGATGGAGCTGGGATGAATGCAAAACTACAGCACCCATTGGGACTAACCTGGGACAAGAAAAGAAGTCTCCTTTATGTTGCAGATTCCTATAATCATAAGGTGAGGTTACAGACTCCATTTTCACTACAACATCTAGTTTATTATTCAGTATCACAAAACTTTGTACAAGTAGTCCTCGACTTACAACAGTTCATTTAGTGACCGTTCAAAGTTACAACAGCACTAAAAAAAGTGATATAATAATTTTTCACGTGACCATTGTAGGCATCCCCATGGTAACATGATCAAAATTCAGATGCTTGGCAACTGGTTCATTTATGATGGTTGCAGTGTCCTGGGTTCATGTGATCCCCTTTTGCGACCTTCTGACAAGCAAGGTCAATGGAAAATTAGATTCACCTAACAAGCACGTTACTAATTTTACAAATGCAATGATTCAGTTAACAATTGTGGCAAGAAAAGTTGTAAAATGGGGCAAAACTCAATAAATGTTTCACTTAGCATCATACATTTTGGACTTAATTATTATTGTCACTTGAGGACTACCTGTATTGCAGAACAGAAAGGTACATCTCTCTGTATGTTTGCATGTATTATTGCAGTTGCTTTTTATATTTCATATTTCAAATTATATTTTAGGCAAGTTTTGAACTTGTATAAAGGAGAGTTTCTTAAATTAAAATCGAACAAATGAGTTCTAGCAATTGCTCAGTAACAGGTAAACATGGAATCAAAATGATAAAAATATTTCTTTCATTCCTTATCCAACAAACTGAAAAAGGTTAGTGTCAGGCTCCCATGATTCAACTTACTAAAGCCTAGCCAGACACACAGCACGGCAGAGCTAGACAAGAATCTTTATTGCGTACTAGGATGGAATGACTATAAATAGTTGATTACCTTCTGTCAGCTTGAGACGAAGACTGTTCTTACAGTTAATGTCTGTGTTTCTTTTTTCCACCTTTCCTGCAACCTTGTGTTTTGCAGCCTTGGATCTTGGCAGCTGTTGATTGTTGATATAGCCAACATTTTCTGACTTGCAAAAATCTAGCCTTCTAAACCTAGTTCCTACCCTTAAGAGGTTAAAGTCACCATTACTTTATGATTTAATCCCCGCTTTGTAAATTTTATACTAGTCACGTTTATGAATCTAATCCATAAACATTACAGCAAGTTGATAAATTCGTGTTCCTTGGTAAAATGTATATTAAATTTATGGAAATAGATGGAGATACTTTAAGATGTCAAAATAATGTTAGAAAAGAAGAGGATAATATGTGATCTGTCAAAGGAAATATATGTTTATCCAAAATAAGCAAAAAGACTGTACATAAGGATGTTCTTCTGCGTACTTTATAATATAGGAGTGAGAGTTTGGTATGAGAAGAAATAAATGCTGAATGCAATGGGAATGAGTTATTAATATGGATTGATCATAGAAATGAGACTTCCAGAAATGGAACATGTTAAACTGATGTGATGCAATCTCAGACCTTAGTTATTTTCTTGCAGACATTTCATCATCCAAACTAGGTAACATCATCAGCACTAGGACTAATAATGTTACCTAATTTGGGCAATGAAATGTCTGCAAGAAAAAGTCCTTCATTTCAACCCGGAACTACAAATATTGTCCTTTATTGGAATCTCAAAATATATATGACAGAAAAATGATAGTTAAGAGGAAGAGGAAGACTGAGAAAGTTATTTTTGAATAGAATTGATGGAATCCTTAAAAAGATAAGATAAGATAACCTTTATTGTCATTTTTATACTGTGGGCACAATGGCACACATCAAAAATGAAATTTAGTTGCCCGCTCTCAAAGTGAAACACATACATGACACACACCTAAACATACTATGAACAACATATGTATAGACCCACATCCCTACATATACGTAGCAAATAAATATTAAATATTGTTCATCTTGAATATATAATGGAAGGAGGAAGCTTGAGAGTTCGCAAGGTTAATGCTGTATGGAATGAAACTCTGGCTGAATCTGGATGTTCTGCTTCGGATACCACGAAGCCTCCTCCCAGAATGTAACAAGGAAAACAGGTCGTGAAGAGGATGTGTAGTGTCCCAGATAATCTTACGGACCCTGCTCAAGCAGCACTTCTGTGCTATGTCCTGGATGGGAGGGAGGGAACTGCCAATGATCTTTTCGGCCATTCTCAGCCTTACCAGGTAGACCAGCAGGAAACACTATTTGATGAGGCAATTCTACTTGTAAAGCCACATTAACAGAATCTTACAAGCGCGAAAGTACAGATCTTCCTTTACAGGCCAAGAAACTAGGGAGGGTCTCTTCTAAACCTCTTGCCCTCCATTGTCCAGCTGTGGGCTATGCACTCTCTTATCTGATGGTTTCCTAGGTAGCGTCTCTTCGTCCCCATCTCCCATGGCCTTTCTTGCCTATCATTAAAAAACAAAAGCATATATGATTGATAGTTGGTTGATGATCTTTACTATGATCATTGACCTAGAACAAAACAGTCAGATTCATAAAAAGAATAAAAGGATAAAGCATCAAAAGCCATGAGATAGGAAGGAAAGGAAATACATTATCTGGAAAGGACAATAAAACACCTTAAACTCTAAACAATTTCTAAGATATCAATAAGAGTAAACATTTACTATGACATTTACTATAGTAGACTAAGTTCATATAGCAGGATATTTAGAGTAGAACCTAAGTGATAAATAATAAAAATATTTTAAAAGTAAAGTACTGAAACAATGTATGAATCAGTGCATGAATATGGAAATTAGCATGGTTTTTAAGAACAGAAATATGCTAAAGAGGATAATGAATATTGTTGGTGAAAACTGAGTTTAAATTTCCTTTTATTTTCTATTGTTCTGTGCCTTTATTCTATTCACTACTTTTTACTATTTTTCTGTATATTATAAAGTTACTTACCCCAAAACAGAATAGTGTGGTGGTTATGTATGTAAAAAAAAGTGGGATCTATTATTAATTTGAGTCATGAAGCAGTACGAAGGCTAATATCACTGCATTGCCATTGATAATTATTTTGATATTTGTCAATCTTTGTTCTTACATATTTTTTTTAATTGTAAATTTCTAGATCAACCTAACATTATAACTTCTTTATAGTCATTTTAAATAGGAATAGGAATATGATTTATTAGGACATTATTCATAAAATTCAAGAAATAGTTCAACATTACTTTATGTTCTACAAGATGTCTTATTTGTTTTGTTCTAGATTAAATTTGTAGATCCCAAAATGAAGAATTGTGCCACTTTAGCAGGTACAGGAGAAGCAAGCAATGTAATTGGTTCCAGCATTACCACGTCAACTTTTAATGAACCAGGAGGCCTATGTGTTGAAGATGGAGGGCAATTCCTTTTTATTGCAGATACCAACAATCATCAAATTAAAGTGATAGATTTAGAAACCCGTACTGTTTCACTGGTAAGTTACTATATATAAAAAAGTATGGATAGATCTTTCTATTTGAGATAAATTATTAGAGCTAAATTTAATTCTACTACCTTTATTGCATTATACATGCATTATTGCCATGTTTATAATGGCCTGGCAAACAGAATTGCTTTTGTATTAAGGATATCCTGTTAAGCTTAAAATAAATGTTCCATCTGTTTTAAGAGGTTAGAAATGACACTAGCGCCGTTAGAATAAGCTGAGATAGAAGAACCTCAGCCTTCAGAACACATTTTGACATAGATATTGGGGATATGATTTAATCTCATCTTGCTGTAATGAGCTGCTTTAAGAACCATGTGTTCCTTCAGTCCATTTTCCCATAAACTGGAAATAAGGTCCATATTATTGAATCATTTGGAGACAAATGAAGTAAATATTTGGATTTATTAAAATCCATCTGGACTTGTTAAAAAAAAGTTCCTTGGATCACATCTTTACTAAATTAAGAACCTCTGGAGCTGAAATAGACCACTAGAAAAAAATGAGAAGGGGTGGAGCAGACAATGTTATCCAGTAGATATGACTATTCCAGGTCATATTATCGATACGATCTCTAAAACATGCTTGTATGGTGTTCAGAAAGGATTACAGCTCTGCATATTCCCAGTGTACTTCAAAGAATGTTCTATAGTGCTGCTTCTGTAGCTTTGGTCTGTCATAGAAGCCACCTTTCATGGCATTTAGAAACAAAGTACTTCATTATCATGAACAACAATGGGGAAAAAGTCCCGATAAGTCGTGTGATGTCATGTGACATCACAAGTTTGACATACCTGGTTTATATAGATACATGTATTACTGGGCAAAGTGTATGTGTATGTATGTATGTAAAAATAATTTTAAATATTTTAACATAATGTGAGCAAACCATTCTGTTCCTTTTACTTCAAAAGCAGAAGTACAATTAATGCTATACTTGTCTTCAGATCTTGGTTTTGTCTTAACACATATTGCAAAGTTACTTAAAGGAATGTATTTGTCAAAGCATTATAAAAGGATATGTCTGCTCCTTTCTCAATAAACTCAATAAAACCTGATTTTTAATCAAACATTTATTTTTTACAATTCATCATATAAAACTAATTGACAAAATATATTCATTAGATTATTTAAATTAGAAATCCACAGTTTTCACAACTTGAGCAAAATACCATGTCTTGATGATATTGGGAGAGGAGCAGTTGTAAAAATAAACATCTTATTGTAAGCACTATTAATAACTGTTGGGCCTGAGCATCCATTTAGTCTATAAAGCATGTATATCTAAATAAGTCAAAACTGCCAAGAAATGTAGCATTTATCAACTCTTTTGTTTGACTTGATACAAAAAGACAAATGCATTGGAGAAGTATAAGCTATGACAGAGCCTAGAGAGTCTCCTTAATAGTAATATATACCAAACATCTTCTGTAAAGCATGATCATTAATTGAAGGGATTGCTTCCTAACCGTAAATAACATAAATTGTTTTACTTTTGTATGTTTCAATTATTCAGACAATTTAAAATTTGAACTTGCAAACGTAGAGGGAATAATCATAGTGCTTACTGAACAAATAAACAGCCTAATTCCAGGCATACTTCTTTTCAATAGGGAGTCTCTTCTGCATCCCGTGATATATTAGGCATCCAGTTTTGAATATAATACCACTGTGTATGTAGGGGGTTTGTTCTTCCCACAAAAAAGGAGTGTTTATATTTGATTTAAATTCTGTTTTACAAGAACTGAGCAAATTAAGTGACAATAAAAGGCAACACAGCCCCACCTGTTCAAAAGGAGTTGGATATACATTATCCATCTGTACAAGCTTAATACTATATATATAATATCACAATTTCCTGTTCATGTAATCTGGACTAACCAGCACTGAATTTAATGAGTTTTGCATTGAAATCAATTTTTAAAAGTAATTTACTTACATGCATTTGAATAGGCCTTCCATTGCCAAAGCATCTTGAAGCAATTTACAATAAAAACATAAATGAGTACATAATAAAATTCTATATTACAACAGCTTAAACTAATATACATACATATAGTAAATTTTATTCAACACAAAATATATTCATTAAAAAATGAGAGGAAAAGGGGAAAAAGCTTTTTTTTCATCATGCATACCAAGAAGGCCTTCAGAAATTGGAGACTTATCAACAGGGGTCTAAAATGTATCACCATAGTGGGGAGAACATTCCAGATCACAGCTATCACCACTGTCCTGCATTGCCTCATTAGGAGCAGCCATTTGGAGCACCTATAGGGGATTTCCCATCCTTTCTTTATCTGTAAAGGTTCCAAGGAACCAGCCCATGCATCAGTTCCTCGGTCTTTGCTGTAATTGAGTTTGCAATACTTGCTCTGGAAATCCATCTGAATCTGTCTGAAAGTGACATTTGTTTTTTCAAACTTTAGAATATGAAATTATATCTCAAAAATTAACATGCTTTCTATTCCTTTGATAGCTTCCTCTTCTGCATGTTGACACAGTAGACACTATAAATAGAGGGAGTATTAAAATGAGTGATAAAGCAGAACTACCAAAGCTCCCTAAATCGGCTCCACATTTTCAGCTACCTTCATTGACTGTAAGTCCAGGCCAAGCACTTCAGTTTGTGCTGATGCTCAACTTGCCTCCAAATACTAACCTGACTGAAGAAGCACCTAGCTCCTGGTTTTTTACTGCAGAAGGTAAAAAAAAGTCAGTGTTTCTGTTTATAGGGAATATATGCTAAATCTGTTTCTCTGATATCCAAATACATTGACTTAGATGGTAGAGCAGATATATCCTTATTATTTTACAGAGTTTTCATTTAAACCTATTCCTGAGTTTCTAATAGCAATTTTAAATTAAATGTACAGCCCATAATTAAATCATCATTTTATTATAACAATTTATACGGTCTACATTTCATTATAATCCTTTACTCAACTGGAAATAATGGAGCAGGTTAAACTAGTGAAATGTTTATCTCATTCACAAAGAGGCTCCTTCTAGGGCAGGGGTGTCAAACTGCTGGCCCGCGGGCCAGATGCGTCATGCGGAAGAGGCGCCCACCCCATTGCCGGCAATGGCAAAACTCTCCCGATACGTTGCGTGACGTCATGTGATGTCGCGAGTTTGATATCTCTGTTCTAGGGTAATAGAAAAGGGTTAAATAAAAAAAACATGACCTGTACATAAATACGGAGTTCTTTCATTTGTATATACTTTTCTATAAAACTTTAGAGCACTTGAATAATTATATACTTCAGTTTGCATTTCCAATATTGTGATTTAGTTCCTGCATTAATCTGATTCTGCCCTGTGAAAGTCTTCTACTAGTTCTTCCATAATTATTTTAGTACAAGCCATAATAATAATGTTTTATGATTAGATAAAATCATCAAATCGTAATAGACTATCTTTTCTTTTCTAGATAATGAATGGCTACTTTGTGATCCACACAGATCTGGGACAATTGCAGACATATTTGAACAGCCTATAATCCAATTTCAGTTACCCACTAACTGCCTGTCAGCTGAAGCTTTATTGTCAATCAATGTGTGCCTCTATTACTGTAGCAAGGATAGTAATGCCTGCATGATGAAAGGAATCTCATTCAACCAGCCTTTCCATATAGCAAATGTAAACCAAAAAAACATAGCTCCAATCGAGCTCACGTATACATTTTAATTTTAAGCACAGCAAAGCAGAAAACCATGTATGGTCCTATTTACTACTGCCTAATTTTTGTTGCAAAACTAACTGAACTTTTGCATTATTATATATGTGTTACTTCATGTTTGAACTTAAAGCAAATTGCAAAAATATATGTTTGCATAAATGGAATGTGGGAAATCATGAACATGTATCTAAATCTTAGTACCTTATCAACTTATTGTATAAGCAATAAATACTAAAGGGCTTGGGATCACTGTGAATAAACAAAACAAAGCAAAATGTAGAAAAGATCAATTTCTATCATCAGAGCACAATCTTAATGTTGGAAATTCGTATTTGTTTGATTTTTTTTCCTGTGTTATATAAACATTTGTTAGCACATGTTTTCTGGACCAGGAGGCCTTGCTCACTGTCACTCATGTCTTGATCACTTGTCTGTTGGATTACTGCAGTGTGCTCTACATGGGCCTGCCCTTGAAGATAACCCAAAAGTTACAACTGGTCCAGCATGCAGCAGTGTGTGCTTCAAGGTTTGCCTATGTTCAACTATTGCTGCGCAAGCTGTACTAGCTTTTAATTGTTTTCTAGGTGCAGTTCAATGTTGGTTACTACTTTCCAGCTTTAAATAGCTGCAGGACCACCTCAAGGTTTCTGTCCATCCTGCCAGATCAGATAACATGGTCGGTCTAGATCCCTTTCCTTAAATGTTACTTCTGGTGGGACCTTTAAGACATGCTTTTCCAGTAGCTGCCCTGACCCTTTGGAACAGCCTGCCCCTTGAGATTTGGAGGGCCCCTACACTTTAACTTCTGAAGGGTGGTGAGGACCTACTCTTCACTCAGACTTTGGACTAGGATAGAAGTGAGCCCAGCAAATGTAGGTTTATGACATATTGCAGCCTTGTGCTTGGACTATATGGTGGTGTGGGGTTTGGTTGGTTTTATTTATGTTGTATTAAATATTACTGTGAGTCACCTAGAATTTTTATGTATAAGAAAGATGGCCTTATAAGTTTTATAAGTAAATGATTAATCTTTTGTTTCAAATAAAAGCAAAATAATGAAAAGTAAAATATGCAGTGAAAAATAGTTTTTAACAGAAACTAAATTTCTTTTTTAAAATAAATGATATTTAAACAGCACGTTCTACCTATATTTGTTAATGACTTACACAGAAGTAACTTCTATGCAAAAGATAAGTGAATTGATATAGGTAGGAATAATATTTTTAATAAAATCTGAAAAATTAAAAGGCTGAAATAATTAGTTTTTTTTAATTATCTACAACCTTAAACTGCTTGTCAAGATTTGTTTTGAAAGAGAGAATTGTATTGGGGGTGGGATGGGGGTGTAGAGTATGGTGTGGTATGTGGTATGGTATGGGGGATGTGGTATAAATAATATTTATCAGCATAAAGAAAAGATACAAAACAGATCACATTCCAAAAAAATACTATTCTCATCAACATTATCTAGAATTTAATATTTCACCAGCAATCTGTCCTATCATGCAAACTATTTTTAAGAACGCTTTTAAGTGCATTTGTGCGTGTGATAAAGAAATAGCAGGCATGGTGTTATTCTTTGTTTTTTAAAAGGTTTATTCCCATCATCATCATCATCATCATCATCTTGTGCCATATCCATTATCAGACGTTGGCGATCATGTTGGCGATACCTGTTTTTATCAGCAGCCGCACAAAAAAATGCTGCTGAGTTTTGTCCAAACCAGTGCCTTAGGTTTTGAAGCCATTATGTTCTTCTTCTGCCTGAACCTCGTTTGCCTTTAATCTTTCCCTGGAGGATTAAATGGAGCATGCCATATTTTTCTGGGCATCGTATCACATGTCCGAAATATTCTAACTTTCATTTTTTAATTGTTCTGATGATTTCCTTTGGCTTTCGCAGGTGGCTTATCACCTCATTTCTGATCTTGTCAACCCAGATTCTACGTAACAGCCGCCTGTAAATCCACATTTCAAATGCTTCTAGTCTCTTCAGGTGGCCTTCTGTCGGAGACCAACTCTCTATTCCATAGAGCAGAAAGAAAAAATACAAATCTGACAAGCATGATTTTCAATCTTAGGCTTATGTCGTGACTGCAGAAGACCTTTTTCATTTTGAAGAATGCTGTTCGATCTTTCTCTATCCTTGTCTTTATTTCAGGGGTCATGTCCCAGCTTTCATGTAAATTAGAACTGAGGTGTGTGATCCTTTCAACTTGGTATTCCTTCCAAATTTATTGGTAAAGTAATGGGTTGTTTGCTGATGACCATGATCTTGGTTTTTGAGGTGTTAAACTTAAAGCCATATTTTTCAGATATTTCTGTGACTCTGTTGATGAGGAGCTGAAGGCCTTCATGCTTACTGGCAAGTAGAACTGTATCGTCAGCATATCTTAAATTGTTGATCCAACACCATTTACTTTGATGCCAACACTGATGTTCTCCAGTGTTTTCCCCTCATAGATGTTTTATATAGTTAAAGAGAAAAATTCCAGTATAATAAGACTTATCCAAGTAATCAATGGCACCTCTTCAAATAATGTTCTTTTAGATTATTTTTAATGCCACCTTGGATAAAATCCAGAAACTTACTCATACATTTTCAATCACTGACTTTTTAAAAAAAACGTATTTTGCACTCTTCCACTCTTTTAGGTAAGGAAATTAATAGTCTTTCTCCATTCCCACCAGACTGAGAGTAAAAATGTTGATTTAACCTATGCCTTGAATTAATTTTAAAATGTTTCACTGACAGTCAAGCAGAATGGAAGTTCCTACATGATAACCTTTAAAAATTAAAGTTAGTTTTTATATTTGATGTCATACACTATATATATTATTGTTATAACATCTGTATTTAGACATTGACAAAGCAACTTGGAAGTCTTTTAAATGTTTCATGATTTTATCTTGGAAACTTTTCCAAGACAGGATAATATAGGATAATAGGCTCAGGTCCAAGATAGGAAAACTTTAAACACATATTCAAAGTCAAAGCTTTTTAATGAATACTATGTAGTTTAGGTGGTTTCTTTCAATGTTTTTGTTATGCCAGAATTAGAAGTGAATGAATTGTGCATCAAAATAATGTGAAAGCAAAGGCAAAACTACATTTTGTCACTTGCTCTATCTTCTATGCTTCACTTTATAAAACTGAATAAATTATATACAAGTATTTGGATCAGGTATGATGCATAATTATTTTTACTTGTAAGACATGGTCTTTGTCCACTAGGTTAGTGCACTTAATCTGGATGCACATAGTTTTCAGTAGTTTAGCTTGCTTTCTTAGATATTTCATAATCATTTGTTTCTAAATTATAGGCTAGTTTATAAAACTGTTACAGGCAATTCTCATTATGATGTGAATCCATCTCCCTTTTTTTCTCATATATAGTAACTGGACTCAGAGGCTTACATGAATCTCGGGCACTTCAAATTCTGGTTTATGTTAGTCTTAGTCTTTACTGAAAACTGTAGCTTCCCTGATCTTACAGGATAACTACATATTAGTGCATAGATTTGACCCAAAATATCCCCTTGGCCTCAAAAAGGGCTTACTGGAGCTATAGCAATGGATCTTTGATAATAATCTCTAAGCAGATCAAAGTGCATGTTCTTTTTTATAGAATAATTATTCAGTTAACATGTTCATAGATTTCACAGACTCCGTGATCATTCTACTGGAAACATGATTTAGTCTGTGAGTGTCTATAATTTTACTCAGTGCAGATAATGGAGATTGTTTCATACATACTCTCATTATATCCTTTTGGTACAGTTTGTGGGCAGCCCTGTTATTGTTCCTTCTAAGCACTTACCATGACATTTCAGAAGAAAATCCTTCCTTTCTTTTAAATAACAGCTCTTTCCTAGCTTCCCGAAAGGTAATCAAATTTTGCTCAGTTGCCTTTGATTAGGGGACTGGAGGCTAAAACATACAAGGAACAGTTGCTGGAATTGGGTATGTCTAGTTTAATGAAGAGAAGGATAAGGGGGGACATGATAGCAGTGTTCCAATACCTCGGGTTGCCACAAAGAAGAGGGAGTCAAGCTATTTTCCAAAGCACCTGAAGGCAGGACAAGGACCAACAGATGGAAACTAATCAAGGAGAGAAGCAACCTAGAACTAAGGAGAAATTTCCTGACAGTTAGAACAATTAATCAGTGGAACAACCTGCCTCCAGAAGCTGTGAATGCTCCAACACTGGAAGTTGTTAAGAAGAGATTGGACAGCCATTTGTCTGAAATGGTATAGGGTTTCCTGCCTAAGCAGGGGGCTGGACTAGCTGACCTCCAAGGTCCCTTCCTATTATTATTATTATTATTATTATTATTATTATTATTATTATTATCTGTTACTTCATATTTTAGTGGTGTTTTATCAAATACATATCCTATTTTATCTAAACTTTAGATCTTTATTCTATTTTTTATATGTTTGTTTATAAACTGTTGTCTGTAAATAAAGATAATCATCATGCTTTCTGTGGTTTATACATATGAGTTGTATACAAAGCTCATTCTAAATTTTCTAAAGAGATCTTCCCCAAGAATAACAAAATCACTGGCATGAATTCCTTCACACAGATCAAACATTTGTTCTTGGAGCTCATCAGTTTCTGTGGAAGTTATCCTTTTTCTTAACTTTATTCCATTTCACTTTATCCAACATGTTCAGATCCTTTAGTTCTGCGTCATCATCTCACTGCATATCTGTGGGTCTGCTAAAAAATCACTGCTGGAAACCTCCCCAGAAGCTACTTTTGTTTTTCTTCCACAGTTTTTTTTCCTAACTATTGACATGCCCATGGTTTGAATTGAGACTGCATCTTTGATTCTTTTGCAGATGAGGAATGCTCTTAGTCCTCTATGCTTGGTTTATATTGGAGACATTCATAACATATGAATAGACTGGAGCTATTACCAGTCTGGGAAGCACTTTGCATCTTGCAGGACCTATTCCTATATCAAATTGTCCAGTTTGTATCAGACAATGCTACCGTGGTCTGTTATATCAACAAATGTGTGGCAACAAACCGTCTCCACTTTTAAACTTTACATTGCAAATTTGGCATCAGTGTGCAATCCAATTAATTTTTATTCTTGCACTGTTAAACATTCTTAACCAGAAATGTCTACTAAATATAAAGGATTCTAGTCCTAATTCAGTTATCATGGATAGTTACTTCCATTTTGAAGATATGCATAGATGAACTTTTTGCTAGTCAGCTAACTAAGGTATGTAGGAAGCACATCACCATAGTAATGGAGGACTTTAATTACCCTGACATCAACTGGGAGACAAACTCTTCATCAAGTGGAAGACCAAACAGTTTCCTGACAAACCTAGCAGACAACTATGTCTCCCAAAAAGTAGAGAAGGGAACTAGGGGATTAGCCATTTTGGATCTAATTCTCACTAACAGAGATGAAATGATAGAAGGTGTTGAAGCCACAGGCACTTTGGGAGGTAGTTATCATGCAATATTGGAATTCAACATTATGGAAGCACAAGCAATAGAACATAGTCAAACTAGAGTCTTGGACTTCAAGAGAGCTAATTTCAATAAACTTAGAGAGGGCTTGGGAAGGATTCCATGGATAAGAATCCTCCAGGGGAAAACAACGCAAGAAGCTTGGGAAATTTTGAAAAGCAAGATAATAGAAGCCCAGTCTAGCTCAATACCAACAAAGAGGAAAAATAACAGCTCTCAAAAGAAACCAGCATGGCTGTATAAAGAACTCTCTGACAAATTGAAAGATAAAAAGAACAAGTATAGAAAGTGGAAAGAGGGGCACATAACTAAATCAGAATATCAACAAATAGCCGAGCCTGCAAAGATGAAGTGAGGAAAGCCAAGGCTCATAATGAACTAAGGCTTGTGACCAAAGTCAAAAATAACAAAAAAAAGCTTCTTTCAACATGTAAAAAACAAGAAAAAAGTGAAGGAAACGATTGGTCCATTAGTGGGTGAAAGTGGTAAGAAGGTGACTAGCAATAGGAAGAAAGCAGAACTATTTAACTTGTTTTTTGCATCTGTCTTTACACAAAGGGAAAAAACAGACCAA